AGGTAGACCAAGGGTTGACCAAAGCCTTCTCAGCGCATCTCTTAAGCTACAGACAATAAGCGTTTGTTGCCTTCTTCGTTTTCTTCCCGACAGTGACTAGAGGAAGCTTGTGCAGTCTACTCTGCCGATCTGAAAAATGTCCAAGTAGGGCGATGCGAATAGCAGAACTACGCGCATGCACATGTATGTGTGTGTATGTATATATATATATATGTATGTCTACTGAACATGCTATGTATATGTATGTGTACATAGAAATTTATTGTTTATAGCTGCATGTATGTATGTGTGTAGGTGTGTATATATACATATATTCAGAGAGAGAGAGAGAGAGAGAGACGCTAACCAACAACGTAGACCATGACACGTGCCCTCCCATGATGTTCCTTGTTTTGCTAGACTCGTTGTGTGCTGCACTTGTTTTTCTTGAGAGTAAACGTGGGGGGACGTGAAGCCCATGAACCCAAGCTCATAATTAGGTGTCCGATTTCGCGAGGGATGAATCAATATGTAGACTTGTTTTCCATGTTGCCTCTATCGATTCTTGTTACTATCAGTGTTTGCAATCGGTAACAGACAGCACACCGAAAGAGTTCTGACGATCTCTCCACATAACCCATAACATATGGGGGGCCCAAGAGGCCGGGGGAGCTTGACCGTTCCTCCAAGCTTTGTGGAAGAAGGAAGAGAGAGAGAGAGAGAGAGAGAGAGCTTTTTCGTTCCGTGAACCCCTGAAGTCACAAACCTTTTCACGCCTCCTCAAAGCCCCATAACATATCGGGGCCTCAATGGCCGGGAGGCCTAAACAGCCCCCTATGCCCTGGCGAAGAAGAGAGAGAGAGAGAGAGAGATATAGAGTTCGCGTATGCCGCCCTGCCTGACTCAGCTTGCTGTCGGTTGACGCGTGTGGAAACCAAGGACTACATTGTGAAAAACGGCATTGCCCTCGACAGCACCTACGGAGGGGATGCCTGACTGGCCAACATGTCCAAGGTCGCAAGATGTGTTGTCGGTTTGCCATTCGGAGTCGGAGCAATTCTAGGGTGCAGCGTGTGGACTCGCCTTCGTACTACAAGAAGAGAGAGAGCCTGAACTGTAGCAAGCTGCAGTTCAACCAGAAGTCGTGACATTGCAACTTCGTCTGAGGACAAGAATCGCGATTCAAGCTGCCAGCCGCACAAGCCCTACTTGCGCATTGCAGGCTTGCCTTCGCTCTCATTACTGTGACAAGCGATATTGAAGCGTGCAGGATCAGTGCTTCGCTAATACGAACCGCCGCTTCCAAGGCTTGTTTGATGACCAGGAATAACACCTTTGCAATCCGCACTCACAACTCCATTCGTCTGAGGACAAAGGAAATCCGTGCGCCATGATGGTTTGTCTGCGATTAGTTCTTGGCCCCCATGACTCCGTTATTTACGCATCCCGCGAGAGCCGTCATGGATAAGTCTCCAGCCCGCCTCGACCTGTGCCGCACAGGCTTTCAGCCTTTGCCCGTGAACAAGCTCCAGCCGCTGATGGAAGCGGTATCTACGAAAGGGCCACTTGGGGCCCCACTTGGGACATTGCGGTTGTTTAGGAGTGAGAGGTTGGCAACTTGTCGCGAAAACATCCGAACCAAGACCCGTCGTTGTGTCCATCGATGCCTCCGGCTGGAATTCCTACGGTGGTGGCATCTTCGACGCTGCGCTGATTCACAGTGTGTTTGTGATTCAAAGCTTTTTGTGTCTAGTGTTGAGTAAGCTCAGTGTTGCTTCTCTTGCGAGTAACGAACTTCAGATTCACCTCCCTCTTGTGGCCTTCTGCGCACAGGATAGCTGTGACAAGGATGCCGTAGTGAACCATGCTGTGGTTTTGGTTGGCTACGGCAAGTCCAAGTCGGAGAACAAGGACATCATTTCGATGCCACCGCCCTGCAGGGCTTCCTGGGACAGGTTTATATTCTAAAGCCTCAAGATAAGCCTGACGGGAATCCCGTGAATCATGGCTGTCTCCTGGACGCCAGGAGTACTGGCTCATTCGCAACTCCTGGGGCGAGGGTTGGGGTGAGAAGGGCTTCATCCGACTGCTCCGTCACAGCAGCGACCAAGGAGCGCAGCCAGGGAGCGGGTTTAGGGTTTGGGGTTCAGGGTTGCATGAAGCGCCAGCCTATAGACTGAAGAGATGTCTCGCAAATTGCGTCGCAGCTAAGATTGCTTTCTTCGATGGGTGAGACTACCACCCATTCTGAAAGTGCCAACGATGGGAAGACAGGGCAAGACTCTAAGCAGTCTCGAAACCATCCGATGTTCAAGCTCCATCCAGCTAAGCATGTTGTGTGCCATGTACACACACACGCATGTCACAGAGCCACAGAGACCACCCCAAAGTACCGGTACCAGAGCTTGCAGAAAGCAGACGGCCGCAGTTGAGCTGGAACCGCTTTGATGCCAAAGCCCTGCCATTCCGAAGAGGTGATGCAGGCTACTGTGGCACGGACCGAAACCCGAAGGAGCGCAACTGTGTTGTTGAGGGTCTCGTCGGGTCTTAAGCAGAAGTGGCCCAAGGTTGTACAGTAGAGTATGTGGCTTCCGGAATCGAGAAGTCTTCATGTTGACATCCTTAGACCTCGGACATGGAGGAGATTGGACCCTGGGGTGTCCAAGTAGTAGGAAGTCAGGTAGCGGTAGAACAATGCCGCAAAAGATGCAGCTCGAATTTTGGAGTCTCGGATGATTACCTTTGCCGCTGCCTTACTTCAATAGCGGGTTCTCTTACTTCAACAATTCAAGACAACCACTACCCACATCCTTAGAAGTTGCGGCGAGACGGTACGAGGTGTGTGCGAGTGCTCTCGAGTTGAGCCATGCTTTTGTGGTGCACTGCTTTATTTTCGTTTTTAGAAGCTGTGCCTCGAGAGTTGGTTGTAAAAGCTCCCCGGCTTTCTAAGAAGCTAGTCTTGGAGAACCGATTTCTGTTGTGGTGCAAGCCGGTGTCTGATCAGTTTGGGCGATAGGTCCAGACCGTTGAACTGGCATCGTGTCGTGTGCAGCTTCCCTTGCCCTTTCTCGGGAGCCCATCAGAGGCATCCTTTAGTATCCAGCACTTTTGACCCACCGGCCCAAACAACGAACCAAGACACCTTTCCTGTCAGGAAGGCGTTGGTTGCGACGGCGGGCCCCCGGAAATTCCTGTTTGTGGCATGTGCGGCGTACTCTCGGAGCCTCGCCAATTTCATGCAGTTTCCGGCCGCTTCGTGATCATACTGCTTTCTCTCCACATCATCAGTACCTTCTAGTAACATCTTCTTCAAGACTTGGGCATACGGGAAGCCACCACGTCGTCTTTGTTTTTTGGGTACTTCGTGTTGAAGCCAGTATCGCCAAATGCACTACAACCGCGACAGCTGTGCAGCTATTGAGCGGCATCTTCGGCATTTCGAACAGTGCCAAAGCACCTGCAGCAGGAAGCAGCCTCTGCCGAGCACCCGCTAATTCACCGACAGTTCGGGCTGCCTTTAGATCCCTGTGTCGACAAAGAGGGACCGTAGCTTAGACTATTCAGCTGCTAGTCCGAAAGCCTCAACTAAATGGAATGCTCAGCTTGAAATCTGCAAATCCTCAAAGCCCTAATCAATCGGGCCTATGCTGCTAGTCTGCTTAGGGCCTATACCCCATAACTCTCCGCCTCGTGAGACCGCATCGCCTTCGCTGAGGATTCCGTCTATCCTACCGGACTTCAGCTCGCCTGAGAGGCTTTAGAACAGCTTCAACTTCCCCCGAGTAGAAAGCTCTGCGACTCCAGTAGAAGGAAGCACGGCACTGTGGAGTGTTATGCAGAGAAGCTCTCAGTCTCCCTCTGTCGCTCGCTCTCTCTCTCTCTCTCTCTCTCTCTCTCTCTCTGTCTCTCTCGCTCTCTCACTCTCTCGGTCTGTCTTTCTCGCTCTCAGTCTGCCGCCTTCTCTCATTCCCTCGCCCGCTCACATTTCACATGCTTCTCACTACAGACAGAGGGGGTATGTAAATCGATCTGCATGTAAGTACACAAACGAAGAGGCATATAAGGTAAAGAAATAGAGAAGCAACACGAACACATGCACGCTCCCGGTTTACGTTTACATTCTTGTCCATGCCAAGTCAAGCCGAGTCAATTGGCGCACGCGGGTTTGCATGCTTGTCTACATGAAGTCGACACGCGCATGCCCTGGGTTGCTCTGAGCGCATGGCTCCAGATGAAAGCATGATATCGATTGAAAGCAACGAATGGAGGGGCGCATGCATGCACGCATGCGTGGATGGAGGGGATGATGGATGGATGGATGACTACATGAGTGAATAAATCAATGAAGCTGATGAACGAATGAACGGACGAACGCAAGAACGAACAGGTGCACGAACAGACACGAAAAGAAACGCCTGTACATGCATGCAACTTCGCATGAACTCTAGCACTCAAGCATACAAAAAATGTACTTGGCAGAGGTAAGCGCAGGAGTAGAGACGAACGATACGGGCTGCTGAGTCGTGGGGCATAGCTGTTCATCTGGGCTGTCCGCAAATGCGGACGCCACGCCCCGTTTTGCTGCGACAGAGCCCTGGCCAACAGCCAGCCCTAGAAGAACATCACATCTGAAAACTTGGCCACGGCGAATATCCTTTATCATCTTGGACTAGCACTTGCTGAGTTTAATCGTCCAAGAGAACTTCTGAAAGGGATGCTTGCAGGGCTTTCAGATTTGAATTCCTCAAGTCAGGGCCGACCTGTCCTTTTGCGGTTGACCCAGTGGTGCCCATGCACTCCAACGGTAAATGGGCCCTCTGGGAATGTAGCTTGCGACTGACCCGGTGCTCATCCGGCGCATGCCTGAAGCTACAGAAAGCTGCTCGTGTGCATCTCTCCGTTTCGGAGTTTGGGGCCCCAGGTTTCTGCATCCTGTATTTTGCAAGAGCTCGCTTGAAAGTAAGTGCAATCACCATATCAATCTTGCTCGTGGGAGCAACGCTGGTTTGGGCTGTGCCCAGGTGGAATGTCTGGCGCGGGAGTTTCGCATGGAGGCGCTGCTTCACCAAATGAAGGCCATGCCGGAGCTGAGCGCTAAGGGGTCCCAGACTTTGATTCTATGGGGGTTGGCCTGTCGGGCATACGTCGGCTGCTTCTTTGCATTGCTCCTGGTGTATAGATCTCCCTGTAAGCTGTGGGTAGCTTCTACTCCTTAGGGCAATCGGCCAACTGGGGATGTGGAAGTGCACAGGCTTGGAGCTTAGAGTGATGGTGCTGCCAAACAGTTAAATGCGCAACTTGCGTACTTACCAGACCGAGAAGACAAACGGGCTTGGTAGTTAAGCCGAGAGGTGGTTCATCAGTAAGGCACCCCACACACACACGGAGACACCCACCCACCCACCCACCCA